ATGACCCAAAGAGTGACTTCCTCAAAGGAGGGTTAATTCATTTCACTCAAAATAGCTCGTACCCTGAGTCAAAATCCTCCGAATTCACCCTCTATAACTGTCCTTAAAATGTCTAATGCACCCATCTATGGATTAAGTAAGATCCCAGTAGTTCCCTTTTCAGTTGGAAATATCACTTCCTTAATGGAATAGAATTCAGGAGGAGGTTGTGAACTAAAAAAAGGTCTCCTGTTTACTGCTTGTTAAATTGTGTAATTTGTTGTCAGATCTTGACCAGGGTCGTCTGGACATGGCTGTGATGTTGGGAGCCCATCATGCCTTGCGGGTGGACACTCGGGACGGTGAGAAAATGGCACACAGAGTGGAGGAAGCATTGGGACGTAAGCCGGACATCTCCATTGAGTGTAGTGGAGCCGAACCCAGTGTACAGACGGGCATCTATGTAAGTCATCCTCTGGTTTTTCTCATAACAGATGACACTCGGAAAGCTCACAAAAGTCTGATCCGACCAGCCTGCACACTTGGGCAGTTACTGCCTATTCCTCACTCCGAGTTCTCTTGCCCCATATGTCATGCATGCCTGCCATTAAACAGAATTCATAGCCTTGATTGATCAGAACTCTCTGGGCAGGGCTTGATGGGTTGGCCCATGGAGTATTACACGGAAATTGTCTATAGCAGCACAAGACCTTACTTGTGGGCGTTGGTGCCCCTCCCAGTAATATTTCAGTAGAGGTTCTTGTTATTCAACAAGTGTAGCAATATGTGAGCTGACAGAGAAAAAAGCGAGCTCGTAAAACTAGACTGTATGCTCAGAGTACTATAGTGATTGTAATCAGTGGATTGAATCTTATGTGTTAGTTAATGCAAAAAGGTATGCTGGAAATGGTGGTAATAATATTCGGTTGTCACCAGCCTCTACAGCCTCTCAGTTTTTTTCACCTACGAGGGAGTAGTTCCGTGCGGAATGGACAACCCAAACAAGTTCTCCCTACCCCTCAAGTTCTCCACACACTGGCAAACTGCATGCTCTGCTCAGTACAATCATTTCTCTTAGTGTTGCCTCTTGAAACTTAATCTGTTCTTTGTTTTGCAGGCCACCAAGTCTGGTGGCGTGGTGGTCCTCGTTGGTAGGGGGCGCTATTCATTGGACCTGCCGCTAGTCAACGCAGCCGTACGAGAGGTGGATATTAAAGGAGTTTTCAGATACGTAAACTGGTGAGCACTTGTTCAAAGTGAAATCGATCATAAGGAATAGGTTTGATTTACTACACCACTAAACCATTGTAAGAAGGTGCAGGTCAATGCAATTGTGCACTGCACTGTAGGAATGAAGCCAACATCACATGACTCTGTATTGAGATAATGCACTACTCCAAATCATCGTACCCTGTCCCTGCATTCACAGCCACATCCTGCAACTCTCCCTTCTTGTCAAACAAGGGTTGCATTTACACCCCAAGGAAACCATTTCTAGAGCAAGGGGTAGATTGTATCAACGGTCTACATCTTCCAATTTATCAAGCCCATTTCTTTTCTTATACTGTCACATCAGCTACCCTCTCGCCCTGGAAATGATCGCCTCAGGCAAGGTGGATGCCAAGCCACTGATAACCCATCACTTCCCCCTGGAGAAGACACTGGAGGCATTTGAGACGTCGCGGACGGGAGCAGGTGGAGCCATCAAGGTCATGATACACTGCGACCAGTAGAGAGACAAGGAATCACCATGGCAACGGAGTCCATCATCTCCAATTCAAATACAGACTAACTGAAGACTTCGAGAGATCATGATCTTTAATCGTGTAGACAGGAGATTGCCATGATTCTGTAGCCTATGGATACTCATTGAAAGTGACAAGATGTAACAAGGTTATTCTGGTGCAGTTGGTCAGATGTGTGCGGTCACCAGGGCAACTGAATCCGTAGTGGCCAATTACAGTGATAACGATCTGTTATGGTCTGGATGCACCACAATCAGCAAGGTGCACACTCACCATGGCAACTGAATGATGCTGGTCAGTTAACAGTGATACTGATCTGGTGAAGAACACTGCATTTGGTTTAGAGCACAGAAATACGATTTATTTGTGCGAGTACAGTACCCATGGGTGACATCCAGTTATGTAACGTTGCCTTGATTGTGGATACAAATGTCATGTGGTCTAGGAAGACCCTTCACATGGTGCAATTTGTCATTTTTGTGTTATACATACCCCTTCTGTTGTCAGGACTGCTTTACTTCCAACTCTAGTTGTATCATCAATCTTTAAAGTTCCAATGTTTGATTGAGTTTGCACAAAAAATAAATGGAAGATTGCAGATGTTTACGTATAAAAGAATAGAACTGGTATAAATTGTCAATAATGACAATTGAAATATTAATGAAAAAATTGCAGTAAAACGTCAAATTATCCCAAAAAATCTCACAGACTATTTTTCTGTTATCTTCCAATGTTGGCGAGGCAACATGCAGGGTTTTCCCAGATCATATCATAGATAGTGAGACGTGACTGCCGCTGTGGTGTTTAATTCTCTTCAGGAATTAAGTTTGAAGCATACTATGATTATGTCTACCTGTGACAAGTTCACAGTACAAGGCAAGTGTTGTATTGGTTAAAAATGAGTGCTAACTTCCATGGTCCTGTAACTGTGTGATGTCCAAATTAAAATGTTGGACGGTGTTTTCACGAAGTGATAAAAACCTGGAATATCAATAATTTTTCTATCCATAGTTTTGTTCCTACCATTTAAGTACACTTCATTCAAGCTTGGCACAGTGTAGCAAAATGTTATTTACTTTCATATTAATTGTAAACACTTATTTGATAAAACGCTCTCCGTGTTTCTCTGTTTTCACTAAGTGTAAAAGGACACCTTGTTAGCAGGGTAAAATAGGCTATACAAGGTTTTGTACAAATCAGGATGTGAGTATAAGCATACACACGAATGATGTTGAAAATAAACATGTGCACGAGTCTTGATATGTGACAAACTGTAACAATTTTTCACATGTGTATTTTTTCACGATAGGGAAAAAAAATGAAGGCCTCCAGGTTTTTTCTGTTTTCATGAAGTGAACAAATTTGTTAATGAGTTAAGGCTGAATTGAAACAATATTTCTGCAACTGAGTGTGGATCAACATTTCAAAACTCTTATATTTCATGACTGTGGACCAGATGAATCCTTGAACATGTTCAAATAAATTCTTAGAAGAGAGGGTAATGTGTCACTGGTGGCTGAAGTTGGGGGGAGGCACCAGTGCCCCACCCTTTTTTTTGGGGGGGGGACAGCAGGCAGGTCCTGAGATTGGGCAGGGCTTAATGGTAGGTCTATCAATGGCTGATACTTGATGGTCTCACAACTGGCCCCTGTGCCGTTGGATCAGCGGCATGGCTAAGGGGGAGGGGCACATGCCTCCCTCATGAAAAATTGTCACCCCCAGCCCCCCCCTTGATGTGATCACAATTATGTACATGTATAGGTCCAACATCCAGTCAGCCCCTACTTTAGCGTGTAACACCCCCCCTGCTCAGAATCCTGGCTACGCCACTGCATTGGATTGTATACAAGGTAAACATTTTCTTTTGCAAAAGGAGATGAAAAATATGGAGGAATTGTGGAAATCAATTCCCTAGGTTTGGGAGCTTTCATCCAAGGGGAGAGTTAATTAAAATTATGGATGGAAAACTGTCCCCAATGCACGAAAATGTAAAGGAAAGCCACTTGGAAAATGGCAGGCTTGGGGACTATCGCTTTTCAGGGCCGAGGAGGGGTTGCAAATTTGTTTCAGTCGAGTCGAAATTCG